TCGTCTTCGATTAGACAACGGTGTCGTTGGTGTAATAGTAATACTAGTTGATGGTGACTGTGTTTGATTACGCATTTCCATATATTTAACAACTGGGGTAGTACGAGATGTTAATGGTAAACGTGGATTATCAGCTGAAGCCATCGAAAATGCCAAATACTGCTCGTATATACCTACTAATTAAAAATCTAATAGGAACGGCATTGACACATTTGCTTTCTATTCCCACGAGTTTTTTTCAATGAGGAAACAAAAAATTATATAGAACGATCTAAAGGAATAAAAAGAACAAAAAAATATTAGGCCACAGCCGCTATGATGAATGTTTGATTGAGCTTATAAAAAAAAAAGAAGAAAATACTATAATATAATAAAAGTAATGAGAAGAAAACAGAATATGAATAATTATTATTTTCTTTTTTTAGTTCTAGTTTTTGAAAGTTTTCTTTGAAAGATAGCATTAAATATTTTTTCAGTCGACTCATTAACAATAGAAAACAAAATATAAATGTGAATGCGCGTAGGTTAAGACAATAAGAGGAAAAAAAGTATTATTGGAATAGTTATGTCACGTACATAGCCGGCTAGTGAAATTTTTACTTTCATATATGTTACTTCACTATACTAGTAAACATGAGAATTATGCTTGATGCACGCAAATACAACTACCAACAAGAAATTGTCTTCATTAATATGGTTGCACTTACTCTTTCTCATCGTTTTCTTTTTCATTAGTATCTAAGAAATTCTTTTTCTTATTCATCTATGTGTTCGTATGAAAATGTAATTGCATACCGATGTTAGTCTGTTAGATAGGTGTTTTTTTCAATGAAGTTACTGTTGTTGTTATTCTTTATGCTTTTGCTGAGACTCTTTTGAGCACATAAAACACACATTTACAAGGACGAACAAACAAAAACTAGAAAAAGAAAGAGATGAAATGGAAAATTAAAACTTAATACAAGGGTCTGGACTACAACTACAGTTCTCTTATACTTACACATATTTGCATCATTCTCAACAAAAGAAAAAAAGAAAAGGATACTACTACTAATTTATTTCACTGACAAAAACATAGTAGCTAATTATGAGCCTTTCTAAAAAATTGCATTTTTGTTTTCTCGTCAGAATTTTACCATATTTATTATGGTTTGTAATTGGAAAAATGCACGATAAGATCACAAAGAATGATGAAAATAATAAAAAGATTATTAGAATTTTGTAACAGAAAAAATGATATAGAGCGACAGCTTTCGTTAAAGGAAAACTCTCAATCTATGATAGTAGTTGTTTGTCAAACGTTTTTACAAGAAAAATTCACTTATCACATGTTTGATAGAATAGTTGAAGGTATTCAAAAAAAAATAGAATTGAAGAATACTTGAAATTTAGACTCTTCAAAGAACATTATAGCCAACATCCATATCATTGCACACAAAATGACAAAATTATTATCAATTGACAATAGTCAAGTAGAGTATCACACAAACATATGTGTAACTTACAGAGGAAATTGATTTATAGTCAGCAACAGTACTTTTTAAAAAAAAAAGGAAACCAAATAGATTGCTTGATTTATTTGTATCGTATTTTTTGATCCGAGCAAATTACTTTTGATTTACATGCAAACAACTTCCTTTTTTACTATATATATATATATACCTCTTTCAAAGTGTACTATCAATGTTTATAACGATACATTTCATAATTTTTTTCAACAAACTTCATTAAACATATTTGATAAAAAGTTCATTTTATTTTAATGAAATTTTTCTTTCACTATATTCTATCTTGAATAACATATGATGCAAAAGTAATTGAACAAATGTCGAATCTCATTTCTTTTCGACAGAAGGATGCTTCAAGAAAACTTTTTTTGTATCAGAGAATAGAGAATTTGTTCCTCTGTTGGATCGTACATAATGTTTTTTTGTCGCAGATTCGTTAACAAAATGACTCATCAGAAAAGAGAAACATCATCAAAATGAGACCATACTTTTCATTTAATTTAAAATAATGGTACAAAATATCAAGTCATATCTTTTTAGTAAACACGTATTTGAACAATTATTTTCTTTTTTATTAGCTGACAGGAGAAATGTTTTTCTTTCGAATAGTCTATAACTTAATTTTGTTATATATTCATAAAGATGACACGAGTAGAGAGAGAAGTATACGTGCAGTAAATTCTCAGTTATTATCAAGAGACAACAAACTGGTTCCTTGATTTCTGGTGATTTCTATAACTGAAAATCTTTTTTTTGTGTTCATCATAAATGCATATGAAGCATGGAAAATGTTTTGAAATGGAGGAAAATCAAGAGTACCCATTATGAATATTGAGAAAACCAATCGAAACCATTAGAAATACATACAGATAGAGACTTTTACTTTTATTTTGAGTATTGAGGATTTTCTATAATTTAGACTGATTTTCATTGATTTCTCATGGTTTTTTGATAGTTGTCGATAAATGTTAACCATTTCCAGTCATTACTCGTATCCTTAGGGCATTAAACTAGTTTCTAGTTATTTCCAATGATTTCTAGTTGAGAAACTAATTAGTTTCCCCTTTGTTTTCGTATTCATTCATTAAATAAGTCGTGTAAATAGACTGAAATCTACTGCTAAGCTAATATCAGGTGTATCAGAAGCTTCTACCTATTACTGGAAGAGGCTACAAATTTCATTCTTTTTTTTTAATAAAATCAGAAAGAAAAATGAGAAATTTTTATTTAACAACTCAAATACAGTCCGTTATACCACATGTGTCGAAGTTCTTTTTTCGACACCTTGAATCATAATCTATAGGATAATTATATCAAGTTCTTTCATCTTTTTTGTTTGAAAATACAAGCTGATAAATCAAAACTTTTGGCTTCTCAATTATTTTCATATAGTTTTTCAATTAATATCTTTATCTTAATCGTTTATTTACAATTCTCGAGTAATGTGCTTTGGTCAAATCAAGCCAAAATATAAAATTGTAACATTGATGATATTTTTAGATTAATTGCATTAATCTTTTAAATATGTATTCATTGACATTCATATTTTGATGAATTGCTTGGTTGCTTTGATGTACATATCAGCGCTGCTAGCCTGGCTCCAATGTTTTAGAAACCACATGTTGATGAATCGTCTTATTGTTTGATAGTACTTGGACAAAATTATGCGATTGCAGCAACAAATGCTTGAATCGAACATCAATTGAATGTTATAAGACATATATTGACTGACAGAAATATCTTTTGTTTTAATTTCAAAACAATTGACTAGTAAAACCTGCATTTGTACTGTTGCGAAAAATTGATTGTAAAATGTTTATGTTCTTGCCTGCTATCATAAGTACCATTTTGTTTCTACATTTTCTTTTATTTCTTCGTTGTGTCCCCAAAGTGTAAATTGTTTCCGTTGTCATGATTACATTTTGTTGTGATTATGCAGACAGAACTGACATGATCAAAAACATTGTGTTGATTTAAATCGTTTTTTTTTCATGAAAAATATTTTGTGATGATTGTCTCTTTGTTTTAAATTACTATTTCCTGTAGAAGAATTAGTTATTACCGTATCTGCATGGAAACAAATGAAGTGAACCACTGAGACTAGAATGATAAATTAATGCAAATAATTAATACAATTAAACGTATTCAAAAAGTCAGAAACATCAATTGATCCGACTTGACCTGCAAAGTACTTGATGATATTTGGTCTAGCTTGCCGAAGTTCCTTCCGAGTCAGATCAGAAAAAAAGTGGTCTCTTGGCAGCTCTGATATATAAACATCCAAAATCCTTCTGAATGATAGGATCAATCAAGCAATGATTTTCGGTTCAAGTTTCGTTTTCATTTTTAATTTAATATCCATATGAGCTGTACTTGAGTCAGTAGAGTAATAATACGCATTTTTTGCATAATTTTGCTCACTCAATATGAAATATTTTTTATCGTCTAAAATAAAATTATAATCACAAGGAATCAGTCTCTGTAACTTCCTGTAGTTCTTTTTAGCTCTTTTTTCTTGAGTGGTATTGTCATCTTTGGAACGTATGGACATCTTTTTTAAAACGATTAATGTTCTTTTTCGTGAGATATGGCTGATTGTTGTTTTAGTCTTTGATTAGAATGTTTTATTAGATAACTATTTCTCGGTAAAAATTTGATTTGTTCATATATTTCAAATATTTGTTCAAAATGTAATAAATTATTGTTCTTGGAATGCCTTTCTGTATGAAATAATTTATTGTCATTGTATATAATTGATTTGATGAACTAAAATAAAACTGAAAAATTTGCTGCGCGATTATTTCTCTTTTTTACTCATGTCATTTTGTTTATGAATATATAACAAAATTAGGTTGAAGACTATTCGAAAGAAAAACATTTCTCCTGTCAGCTAATAAAAAAGAAAATTATCGTTTAAATATGTGTTTACTAAAAAAGATATAAAACTTAATATTTTGTACCATTATTTTAAATTAAATGAAAAATACGGTCTCATTTTGACGATGTTTCTCTTTTCTGTTATGTTATTTCGTTAATGAATCTACGACGAAAAATAAATTATACACGATTCAAAACAAAAAAAAATTCTCTAATTTTTCTTTCAGCATCCTTCTATCGAAGAGAAATAGGAATCGACAATCATCAAATTACCTTTACATCATAGGTTATAATGCCTATTATGGAAAATTTTTTTTTTCTCTTCTTTTTCTCATTTTGTTGAGTGTCGTTGCTGGGGAACAGAGTATGAAAAAATTAAAAATGCCATACGAAAAAGCTATGCATATTATATAGCAAAAGACAATTGTAATTCTTTGTTTTTTGTTTCCAGTAATTTAAGGAATAGTGAATATTTTGCAAACGAAAGTGTTGATTCAAAAAGAATAAAGGTGATGTTTGGCGTTGTTATTTGTTGTTAAGAGTGATTGCTGACATAAGTCCTTCAACGGCATTGATGAAGTTTCACATGATGACAAAGTATGAAATGATTGTGTGATGCCACGTGTATTTCAGCTACCACCGTTAACAGGAGAACATGGTAGGTAGAAAAATCTGTTTTTTATGTTGAATATTAAAAAAAACAAATCTAAGTTGTTTTTGTTTTTGTTAAATACAGAATGGAATAAAAAGAGATCTGTGTTTGTATAAAAATGTTTTTCGTTATAAATCAATTGATCGTGTGAAGTTTTTTAGTGCATTTAATTCTTTATTGTAGGGCTTTATTTTGTCCTAATTGATAAACATTCGTAAAAAGCGTGTCTACCACATTCTATGATACTTTATGACAGATCAAATATTTATAAAAATAAAAATACATTGAGCGATTGAAACATATTTTCTCTTTCTAGAGATGTCGACTCATAGGTTGCGACGTACCGATGAAAACTTTAAGTCCGTAAATAGACGTGAAAGGCGACACTCTATTTTATATTCGTCTAATCCGAAAACCGATTCTTTACCAGTTGATTGTATTCTTGTTTATAATCATGGTGATAATAAAAAAAATGATAATGAACACAATGATAATCGTAATAAGATGAATCGATCTGAACGAAGAAACAGATTTGAAGACTATCTTGTCAAAAAACAAGGTCTTATGCTTCAGCATGTGGTATGTTAAAATAGAACATTTAAAATAATGTAATTTTCAATACTTAATGAATAGACATCAACTACCGATCAAACTGAATATGTTAAAGTTCATGTACCATTTGAAATTCTTTTATCAACTGCCGAAAATATACGTATGAAATTACCAATTGAAGTAAGATAATAAAATCAATTTACTTTTGTTTATTTTCTAATGTTCATTTCTATAGAAAATACTCCCAGAACAGCCTGAAATTTCAACACATAATACATCATGTTGGTATCGTTTTAGTCATTGGTTAAAAAAACCCTTTCGTCTTGATCCATCATTAATAAACGATGATATTGATTATTATACAGCAATATATTCATCTAATATCGACAAATTTGAACCTTTATTTAAAGAGTTACGTGGTTCACGTGATTTATATTTTACACCAAGTGAACGAAGTTTATTAACATATGAATTATTATCAAGAGCTCATTGTGATGGTGATGGTAATGTTGATGTTGATGATGATGATGATGATGATGATGACTATCCAAAAGAACCAGTAGCTATACGATCAGGTTATTGAAATTTAAAAATAAGGCAATTCATAATTTATTTTTATGTTTTAGTTTTCAACACAGTTGAGGGGTTACGGAGTGGTTCAAGAAGACCTGGTATGATTTGAAATTTGATTTTCGTTTTATTTCAATAGAGTAACCGTCTGAATATTAGACTGAAGCTCATTGGCTTCAGTACAATTCCGATTCTAGCTGAATTCACATTCGAAATTTTTCTGATTTGAGTAGACTTGAAGTTGAGTTGAAAAAAATTGAATCTGACGGGCTCTATATCAGGTTTATCTATTATAGAAAAGTTTATTTTCTACTATAATGACAAATTTATGTAAGTGTAAGTCGAATGACGATTTTGTATGAAGCATTCCAGTAATCCTAAAGCTTTTTAATGGATGAAATATCAGTTCGGAATTTTTCAGCATTTCATTTTTATGATGCTGGGGTCAAATATTGCTGTCGAGATTGAGTATTAATTACTTGAGAAAAAGCAACTAAGGATATGCACTATTCTAAACTTAATGTACTCCCAATAGACCTTATCTAATCAAGAGGGTCTCTTTTTTATGATTCGGAATGATTCACTCATTAGTTATTATTATCCATCATTGAATTTAGCAAAAATATTTTTATTGTTAATCGATTTATTATAAATAATGTTTCAGGAATTGCTCGATTAATAGCTAAAAAAGCATATGACAACTGTTTTCCTTTACATGAGGTAAAATATGAGATTTTCTTATCATATTGATATTGTTTACTTGTTTTGATTTATTCAAGCCTTTGCGAGATGATGTGGCCAATATTGATGATAGTGAGTTAAATGATCGAGAAGTAAGTTTTAATTAGTCTTTATGTGATTTGATAATTTATTTGGTAAATTATAGAAATTAAAAAAACATTGGGCAACAATGAGTCAATGTTTAAAATTTCAACCATTATCTTTAATTCGTTCTTATATGGGAGAAAAAATGACATTCTATTTTGCACTTTCTGGTTTTTATAATCAAATGCTTATTCTACCAGCTTTCGTTGGTCTAATTGTATTTATTTATGGTGCAGCTAGTGTTGCTAGTGACGAACCAACGTAAATTTATTGAACAGTAATGTTTGAATCTTTTGCTTTAATTCTAGATCTGATATTTGTGGAAGTTATGGAAACAGCACTTATATGTGTCCAAGATGTGATAAAACATGTCCATTTTGGAAATTGATTGATAGTTGTGTTTATTCAAAAGTAGCTAAAAGATGTTACTTTGTTGATAATATTCATATTGTTTTAGGTTTCATATGTATTTGATAATGTATCAACGGTTGTTTTTGCTTTTTTGATGTCTTTATGGGCAAGGTATCATGAAAAATTCGAATATTTATGTATAAAAATTCTCTTTTTTTTGCACATTTATTAAATAAGATGGTTTATTGAACGTTGGAAACGTCGCGAAGCAGTTTTACGATACGATTGGGTAAAGAATGGATTTAAATTAAGAGAAATGCAATAGATATTTCTTTTTTTTCTAATATTATAAAGGATTCGATTGATTTCGATGAAAATCTTGAACCAATTCGACCGGAATTTGAAAATGAAGCACAGAAGATAGATGAGAAGCATATTAATCCTGTTACAAATGTATTGTTTTTCTATGCAATTTACTTAATTAAAACATATCGATAGAAATATTTAGAGAAACGAGCCATTTATACCGATGGACAAACGAGTACCATTCTTTTTAGTTGCAGCTCTTGTTGTTTTATTTACAGTAGCTAAAAATTTTATTGTTTTCTTCTAAAGATATTATTTCATTGCTGATTTAGATGTTGATTGTATGTGCAACTATCTTTGCTATAATTGTTTATCGTGTTCAAATGGATTATATTTTAAGAGAGACATCAGTAAAACAATATTCATCAATTATAATAACTGTAACAAGTGCTATTATGAATCTTATTTGTTCAATTCTATTATCTCAATTTTATTATTGGGTTGCAAGAAAATTAACAGATCTTGGTAAGAAATTTTTATTTTTTAGAGTTGAATTATATTTGTTTCATAGAACTTCATAAATATCAATCGAATTATGATGATTCATTAACAATAAAAATATATCTTTTTCAATTCGTTAATTTTTATTCATCATTATTTTATATAGCATTTTTTAAAGGACGGTAAGAATAATATAATATTAACAAATTTTTATATGAATCTAATTTAGATTTGATGAGTATCCATCAAAATATGGTGAATCAAGTTCAAAAGATTTTACAGAACAGGTTTGATTTTATCTATTTGCTTGTTGAATAATACATTTTAGATATATAAAAATCAATATTTTTATTAATTAGTGCGATCCAGCTGGTTGTTTTGTTGAACTCGCTATTCAGTTTTTAATCAGTAAGAACCGAAAAATAAGATTTATTTGAAAAAAAAAAGAAAACTAAATTATCGAATTTAAATATAGTTATGACTGGTAAACAAATCGTAAACAATATATTAGAATTCTTTTTTGCTATCTGTGGTACTTGTGCATGTGTATGTTGCAATCGTGATATAGACACAAAAAAAGAACAATGGGAAATAGATAAAAATTTAAACAATTTTGAATCAACCACATTAATAGATGAATATCTTGAATTAGGTTAGTTACTAAATATCAAATATGAACTTTAATTTTAACTGGAGTATTTCATTTCATTATATTAGTTATTCAATTCGGTTTTGTTACCTTATTTGTCATTGCTTTTCCGTAAGTTTAAAATTTTCTTTTTTTTTTATGAAACAATCTAAAAAGATTGTTGAAGTGTATAGGATAGAAATTTCTATCCATTTCCCTCCTCTGTCCTCCACACTGTTTATCTAGGAAAACATTTGACTAAAATGAAAATCACATGTTTTTAAGATTTAAATATAGAGGAATATACGTGAACATGTATAGTCTATCAAATGGCACAAATAACTTCGTTACAACCAGTAAAAAATCGGAAAACCAGTTATTCAAAAGTTAATCTGAAAATCATAATGTTGCTCGGAAATACTAAATCAACGAAAATAGTATATTCGGGATTAGAACGTTAAATTGTGTTGAATGATATATAGCACAAAACAAATTCGAAGAAAAACAAAATCTCGAAAAAATTAGAACAAAGATTCACTCCAATAAATTTTCATCAAAGAAGATTTTTCCTTAAAAATACTTTTGGGCGAGATATTTAGTAATTGCCGAACAAGAAAGTCACATGTTCGCATGCCATGCTAAAAATAGGCATTGTACCTCCCTCTTCCTTCACATAGATTATGACAGACGTTTTGATATACGATCAACGACCATGTATCAATAATGTCTTATTTTAATATATAAAGCACATCCTTATTGTATGTCTGGAGAACTGAGTAAAAGAATGGTAAAGAAATGCGTCTCAAAATATATAGAATGAAACAATGTTTCTGTTGTTAGCAACAGCAACTGTATCGTGTTCCAAATTTTTATCTCACACAGATTGTGCTAACAACTCGTCTGATTTATATATATATAAATCTCATTTTCATTTGTTTTCTAACCTATATAGATTAGCACCATTATTTGCATTGATTAATAATTTAATTGAAGTCCGTTTGGATGCATGGAAATTTTTATCTAAATATAAACGACCAATTCCACATAAAGCATCTGATATTGGAATTTGGGGTAATATTATGTCAGCTGTATCATATTTAGCTGTATTAACTAATGTAAATATTTATCTAATAACAAAAAATAAACAAATAACTACAAATATTATTTTATTAAGGCCGTAGTGATCGCTTGGACATCGGAATTTATTCCAAAAATGGCTTATCGTTCTTTACAATCAACAGGAACAAGTCTGAGTGGCTATGTTAATTGGACACTTTCATCTTTTCCTATAGCAGATTATAATCTAACTGGTACAATGCCATCAGGTGTACCGTCTGGTTTGACATACTGCCGGTAAGATGAAACTATTTTTGATAATTATTTAATATTTTTTATTATAGTTATCGAGATTTTCGTGAATCAACTGGCCCATCTTATTCTCACACATCTGTATATTGGAATGTAACTGCTGCTCGTCTTGTATTCATTATTCTTTTTGAACATATTATTTTTATATTTATTTACTTAATGCAATGGCTTGTGCCGGATGTACCAAAAAGCATTCAAGATAAAATTGCTCATGAACGTTATATTGATCAACGTGAACGATGGGCAAGTAACAAACGTGAAGAAAATATTAAAAAAACTGACCACAATTCTCGAGAGACATCAAAAACCATCAAAAATCTACCTTTTCCTATTACATACCCTGGAAATATTAAATCTTCTGCTGATGTTAAATCGCCTGTCAATGATAAATCGCCTGTCGATGATAAATCTCCTGTTAATGTTAAATCTCCTACTGTAAAATCAAAGCGAAGAACAATAATTAGAGCGAGAATATCACCGAAAGATACATACTGACTGTCTTTACGATTAGTTTGTTTTTCCTTTTTTTATCAAATAAATTTTTTCATTACCCATTTTAACAAAACATTTACATTGAAATTAATTTAAGTTTTGTCAGTGATTTTATTCAAACATTGAAATCACGTTAATTATAATGGTCTTTAGTGAAAAATATAAATAATTTGAAATAAAATGATTGTTTTAGTCCTATAAGTAAGCTTTTAAGATCTGCTGGTTAGTAGTCGTTCAAAATTACCTTTAAATCATGATATTGAAATTTATTTATCAATTTCTAATAAAATATTTTGAAACTAAACATTTTATTTTTAGCAATAGAATTAAAATGTTTTACAAAAATATGTTTCATATCAATTAATTTTTCAAACATTAACAGTAAGGTTAAAAAAGCACAGTCAAATCAGAGAAATACTGACTGATCGAGCACACAAAAATATTTTATTATACAAGGACGTGTTTACCATCATTGCATCGAAAAATAAAGCCGACAGAAACAAGTGATTGGTATACCCATATTACCTTCATATAGTTGCAAACAAAAATAATCAAAAACCTTGATCATATTGGATTCTACATATAAATGCCGTCTAAATTATTCAAACATGTACTAAATATACTCTAGAGTATATCTTATAATATACAATTTTTTTTCTTCGCTACTTAACAATGTGTATGAAGACACTTTGCAACCAATGTGGTTTAATAACATGGAAAGGTGAGATGCTTTGTTTTAACATTTCTTAATATTTTTTCTTTAAGAAAAAAGAGTTTGTCAGTCTAGTCTCTTTGATGTTAAAATGTGAATCTTCCATGTGTTCTTCTGACGCTGTATACTCATAGAAAATATTCAAAGGGAAAAGACTGTAGCAGGCTGTATTTGTATTTCAAGAATAATTGGTTAGCAGAGAAATGATCCCTCTTTATATATTTCTCCATTTTCGAAGAGAATTTTTCAACTGGCACTCTTTTTTTATTTGTCTCGTTGCTATGCACTTGCTATTTTTTCTTTTTCGTATTCCATCTTTCTCAATGTAATATTATTATTATTCTAATCAATAATTTTATGGACAAGTGACCCTATTGTACCTATCCATTATAAATACAGTAGGTCTCAACACACTATTATAGATTCCAATAAGCTTAGAAACGCTGATATTGATTATTCCCTGAAGGTACAACTTTATTTAATGCATGCTTTTTATGTTGATCATATAGTAACTGCGTCGTATTAATGCATTGTTAACCATCATTCTTGAGAATTTGAATGTAAATTTTTTATTTGCGCAAAAATTAAGAACTGTACTATTTGGAACATTAACAAACATATTTCAGCCATTCAACCTTCAAGAAAAATTGTGGAATGTTCTATGACTTTCTGGAACAGTATAAGTCTTATTCTTAATGCTATTTACCGCTTTTTTTTCTATAGCTAAGGAACTCTGGAAAAGAATTTTGATATCGGTTGCTGTGAAGGCAAGAAGGGAGCGTGAGAGTCGAAAAAGCTTGAACTAAAACGTATGCTTACTATTTTCCTTCAATATATATATATATATAAGTTCCACAAAATACTAAATTCATTGATATTCTTAGATATTTACATGATAATTTTTTCTAGGTTGTGGTCAACATATTGCACAAGTACTAAGAGATGTACCACTTAAAGAACGATGTATATGTCTGAAAGAACCAATTTTTATCACAAATCAAACACAATCAGCAAAATTTTTAAAGCCGAATAAATTGTATTAACAATCACATTGGTGGCAATGTCATTCAAAGAAACGATGAGAAATGTCAAGTTTTTTTGTCATTTGCATCACTTGGATTTTATTTTTCTAATGTATTCTTTTTTTCAATAAATACAGACAGTAGTTGACTACTACTTGGATTTTAGATTATCAATACTATACTAATTTAATCGAAAAAATACATAACTGACATTTTCATTTAATGACTATCGATAAAAATCTTTCTTCTCTTTCTATTACGAAAACCTTTCTCAAGTGTAACTATTCGATTCATCGATAAGGTATGAGTATATAATTTTCTTATTAGTAAGCAATTATTGACGCGTGAAATACCTTTATACAATACTTATATGTAGCCTCTCCGCCTCTGCGCAATAAATCAGTGCAAAACAACGCATAGATGTGTCATGTAGAAAAAAATGTATCGCTTCGTAAACTAAATACATATGGTATTAATGCTGTGGCACGTTATCTTATTCGAGTTAATAATGAAGAAGATTTGATAAAAATTTTTAATGATCCATATTTAACAAATATTGACCAAAAACTTATTTTAGGTGGTGGAAGTAATTTGCTTTTTGTTGATGAATATTTCAATGGACTCATCATTTATATGTGTATAAAGGGTATTACTAATCTCATGAATAATGAAGAAAATAAAAAAGTTATACTGAGAGTTGGTGCTGGTGAAAAATGGATGGATTTAATTACTTATACAATTCAACATAAATATAATGGTCTAGAATATTTAGTTGGTATTCCAGGTACTGTTGGTGGTGCACCAATTCAAAATATTAGTGCATATGGAGTAGAATTAAGCAATGTATTTCTCGAATGTCAAGTATTCGATATTCAAAATAAACGTTTTGTTATTTTTGATAAACATGCATGTGATTTTGCCTATCGTACAAGTATATTTAAACGGAAAAATAATAATAACGATCGTATGCGCTATATTATTACATATGTGACATTTGAATTATCAAAATCATCATCAGAATCTGTTGATCTACAAAGTAAAAATATTATTAAGGACATCATACAACGTCGATCTTTTAAATTACCTGATCCATGGTTACATGTTGGTAATGCTGGAAGTTTCTTTGTAAATCCAATTATAACAAATGATCAATATCAAAAGATAAAACAACAAGAACAAAATGATATTCCTCATTATTTATTGAGTAATAATAAAATAAAACTTATAGCTGGTTGGCTCATTGAGCAATGTAATTGGAAAGGTAAAAGTTTACGTACAGCAGGCACATGGCCTTCACATGCTAATATATTAATTAATAATGGATCAAATCATGGTTATGATTTATGGGCATTAGCAAAAGAAATTCGTACAAGTGTAGAAAAACGATTTGATATACGATTAGAACCAGAAGTTAATATTATTCGAATATTTAGACCAGTAAAAGTACGATTTATATATTTAATTGAGTGAAGATATTTTTTTTTAATAGGATATTTTATATTTTAGAATATAACATCATCAAAATTAATTATTAGAAAAACTCATTTATGGCAAAATGAAAATAAAACCAAAACAATTCATATACCATCAGATAAAAATGTTTGTGTTCATCTACTTTTTGCTGCCATTAGTTTAAAACAAAAAGTTTCTTTTAAAGATGGATTTTTTGACAATATCTGTCATGATGTAACACGTATTTTACAATGGATTGATGAATATAACATAGCTGATCTTTATTTTCATAATCATCAATTAAAAATAATACCAAATGATCATAAATTAACAGATTTAACATCAGCATCATTCAGTCGAGCTAGTATTGATATAGCTGGACATACTTTATTAAAATATGGTATTGTAAGTTGTGTTAAACTTGGTGGTTGTCAATTTACTGATCGTCCAATTGATCTTCATCTTAATTTACTTGTTGCACTTGGTGGTCATAGTGATGATGGTGAAACATTTTATTTAAAAAAAAATTGGAATAATTGTAATGATGAATTTGAATTTGATTGTCGAACTAAAAATGGTATATCAAGTGTTGGTTTAACTATACATGCTTTACTTAGTTGTTGTGCACTTCCAAGTCATATTCAATGTAAATTAACTTATGTTGCACTTGAAATATCTGTACAAACAGTAATTACACTTGCATCACAATATCGTCCAATGATTGTAAATGATTCTGAACGTATAATTATTTTTGAAAAAAATCATTTATATTCAAAACATGATCTTGTACTTGAACATGTACCAATCGATCAAATTTATTTATTTACAATGTGTTCTTTTGCTGCAATGCTTCAATTTAAACTTATAATTGATAATTTTGAATATGATCAATGTATAACTGAATATTTAAAATCATTTATATCAATAACTATTGATGATACTAATCAAAATGCTATAGTTGATGGAAGAACAAGTTTTATTCATAATCATAATGATACACATAAATTAATTTGTGATATCTATCCAAATGGATTACCAACAGATATTTCACCTATATTAACTGCTTTATTTATTGCTCGAAATATTTCATTTGAACTTATTGATCATATTTATGATAAACGTAATACACAATGTAAAGAATTTACTAAATTTGGTTATGAAATAATTACTAATGGTAATCAAATTCTATATGATAGAAATAAACATAATACAGAACCTTGTAAAGATTTATTTGCTCATGATATACGTAGTGGTGTAGCAGTTTTACTACTTGCATTATATCATGTCAATACAAATCAATGGAATAAAAATGATGAAATTATTATACATCAATATGAACAAATTCAACGAGGTTATGGAAACTTATTGCATCAAAAATTAATTGAATTTGGTTTTGATATTCAATTTATTCAAGAATAATTATTAATTGTAATCGATAGGTAAACAATGACATAAAATTGAATTTATCGGTGTTTCGTTTTTGTCTGCTATAAATAAGTTTTTTTTTGTAACGATTTTTTACTTCTTGTATTAATTAGAAACCTGCGATCTGTATGTTAAGTATTGAAACGTATGATATTTTGTAAGAAAAAAAAAATAAATGCCTAATATGCTGCATACTATTCATTACTGAACCGACAAATATGTAGTAAAAATAATACGAATAACAAATGCATAGGATAAGATTCATACTTTATTTAAGATAATGCATTAAGGTATAGAGCTTTTTTTTTGTTTTTGACGATTTTTATAAAAGTAGTAGAATAGTGATATAATTTATTCGTATATAAACATCTAAAATTCAGTTTATCAAATTCAAATGTCATATTTATATCTGCATTTTGAAAAACATTTGTTCTGTTTTTATTTTTTGCTTACGCTGCACTATTTGTTTGTTTTCTAGTTATTCATTTGTTATTTCTTTTCTTGTCTATTCGTTTCGTTTTCTTGAGACTATTGTTATTATTATTATAATCGTGAATTCAACAGAATTTTTTTTTCTTTTTTTCATATGGTTCGATATAGCGCGATGCATTGATCAAGAATATATATGATTTCTCTTTTTTTGGAATAACTGTTTCCCTAAACATTTACTCCAAAAAAAAAATGAAAACATATATATTCGTAACCAATTCGTCACGCTCTGTGTAATCATATATAAAAAAATTGCTTTAGTTTTGCACTTATTGCACCTTATAATAATATTTCGCAAATGTTTAGCTATAGTTTATAATATTATATTTACTAATCAAAAATTGTTTCCATGCTTTCTCGAACTTCCAAACGAAACATAGTGAAATTCAATTAATTGTCGACAGACTATATATAGTAGTTTTATATTTATTTGTCCGTTTTTCTTTCTACGTGAAATTACTATTGTACGAAATACTCAGATTGAATCAATTTGTCATTGTATATTTTCGTATAATATTGACGGACGTCAACAAACCACTATAGGTTTTTATTCAAATCCACTATCAACTTCAGTAGTCAGTACTACTTTCTCGATGATATACTTAGAATTCGTGTAGAAAATTAAAAACAAAACACTTCAAGTGTTTTCAACTTCACTCAATACACTACTAATGATTATCTAAAATGAAATGACACGAAACATACTACTACATTAACAAGATAAGTCAAATGAACATAAAATTCTGCACTGTTTGTTCTAAGAGAAAGTTAATGAACTTGAATATCAACTTTCTTTGTCACCACATCATTTGCAATGCATTTTTCTATTTTATTGGCATTCTAAAAAGATTAAATAATAAGAGGATCATCAAACTACAATGCATTATAATTTAGTTTCGCAGATTTTTGAAGATTAAACATTATTCATTATAAATAAACATTTAAATTTATTCGCTTGATATATAGAAATGCTCTTTCGTATCATTAACAAAAAATTTATTTATTTCGCTGATTGTTACCCCATATAATTGCTTAATGTTAAAAATCTACATCATCATTTTCTAGTTTACAGTAAATAAAACAAGAATAGAAATAACATAAAAACGATTATTACTATTCTATAAATAGCAAGTTATTCTTTTAATCACTTGATCAATTGCACATAAAAACACATAAATCATCACCTTGAAAATTAGATATTTATTTATAGTACATATTCAAAAATAGTATCACTATGTCGATAAATTGACGCAGATATTTATTGCATATATTTAGATTGTAAAGCTTCTGGATTGAAAATTAAGAAAAAACATAGACAAAAATTATGTTCTATATTGAAGAAAATTTCTATTTATTTAGAGCTTTCTCAAAAATGACTTGTCACAAATTTTCGAATCTTTCAATGTACATGAATTTCGATAAGTCGAATAAAAGTTATCATAGATTCTGAATATCTAAATATATAATCCTCGAAGGCTTCCAAAAACTAATAATGACCTGAAATTCTCCATTTCCTTCCTGCAAAAGTCTATAGGGTGTTTTTATGGTTGGGGTTTTGTTTTGATTGTGGCAACTAGAATTAAATTCAAATGCATGTTTTTTTTTCTTCAGAAAATATTTATCTTGAGACTTACGAGAATCAAAATATTGAAGCC